TTCTTAAAAACCCATACAAACTTTGTCACAAAAATCCCTGCAGTAACTTCTCAGTAATATTTATACTGCCTGCTCTGAATATACAGGTTAAGGAAAATAAACACAGCTGCTTTTAAATACATAAAAATTGCAAGCCACACTGAGCATGCAGTAGCTTCAGTATTCACAAAGTACTGTGAGCACCTAGAGGACTGGGACCCAAGATGCATTAGGACAGGTGGGGCCTTGTCCCACCTACAGGGATGGTCTAGTTGTGAGCTATTAACTTCCCTACTCGGAGCTGAAGGATTTCAGAGAAGGGAAACATCTTCTCCCTAGAGAGACGCAAGAATACTTGAAACTCACAGTTCTCAAAAAAACAAAAGAATGAGTAGGGTCTTTTCCACGGCAGACAAAATTTCAGGGAATTGATAGTGTTACTTTCCATACAGAATTTATGTAACATCTTCCTATTAAAATGAGCAGTTTTACTAAACCTCACCTCATACTGATTCTCATTGTTTTCATCTGTGGAAAGCATGACCTTTCTGAAAGCTGTTTGCACACAGGACTGTGCACCAGCACCGCACACATCCACCTCTTACGGGCAGTTTGTAGAATGACTCACCACAGCTGCTGTGAAGGAGGAACACGTATCTCAGAATGTTCTGCTACTTGGTATTAAGAACAATGGTGGACCTCACTTTTTGACCTGAAGATGACCCCTCTCAGAGGTTTAAAAATCTAACATCTGAGCTTAACCCTTTTAAGGGTTTGGTGACACGGAAAAGCCAGAGAGGAGGAGTGTGCTCGTACATGGTCGACTTCCAGCCCGCGCGGAGCACCCCCTGGTGGCTGCCCAGTGTTCCCCGACTGGAAAAGAGACGGGAGTGTTACGCAGTCTGGGAATTCTTCTCGTAAGAGCGCCAGAAGGTAGGCGAGTCTAGTAAGATGAAAGGTGGGGAAAACAGTGCACAAATACCTTAATTTTAAGAACCTTTTGCATAAGTAATTTCCCAGAAGCCTTCTTCCCAACTCCTTTCAGGAGGAGCCGAGGCGATTCCGCCGGGACACGTCCGCTCATCCCAGCCAATGGAGCACACGCGGGGCCACGCCATTCGCAGGCAGGCAGATGGGTCCTCTCTAGTGTGTGTCATCTCTTAGTGCTCCAACGGGACATCAGGGCAACAGTTAAAAATCTGTTCATAAAGCAAATTCCTTGTACGTAAGACTGTGATGACTCAGGTATCCAGGATTTTTAGGGTGTGAAATATTCTGAATGAATGAAGTTTCCAGGGAAGTGAAGCTTCTCATTAAATTGCCAAACATTTCTTTAACATTTTAACATTGAAGTTCTTTTAAGTATATCATACATTTCCATTCTTTATAAAATTTTGAAAATACTTTCTCCCTTTCTTGGTGACAAAGAGGTCACAGGTTTTGCTGTTTTTTTTAAATTATGTCTTACAAAATCTTAAATTCCAAGCTTCTTTAGGACAATGATAAGCAAACTCTTATTTTTGGGAAAAATAAATGTTGATGGGTTGCATTCTTTTCATTTTAAAAGGTAACTGTTGTAAAACTTAGACAAATCAGCGAATGAAGTGGTGGGGAGAAAGCCATTATAACAGCCATAGACCGCACAACGGAGCAGGGGACAGCCGAGCTCTGCCCCCGCCACCCAACCCCCGAAATTAGGCCACAAGTCCAGCAGGCCAAACAGGACCTAGCCTTGCTCATCCCCGTAAGGGGAGAAAGGGGCTGCTGGTTCGTGCAGGTGACGCATTGTGGCCAGCCAGCAGGACCCCGCACAGGGCGGCCCACACGCCATCCAGCGTGCCCCACCGCCTCGCATGGAGACTGCCAGGCCTCAGTGATAAAAAGGAGTGGGTTCAGTTCTCAGTACATTTCCATGTGGCCAAAAGTTAGAGTTCCATCTACCCCTATAGTGACATGAATGGTAGTAAAATAGACCCCATCAAAGTGCTGTTCAAGCCATCCATTCTGTTTCTGGCCTTCTCTGTCAGTGCTCCCTTCAGACATATTCTGAGCTTCACAACGGCGCGACCCGTCCTCTCCCCCGAGTCTGGCCTGCAGGAGATGGGGGAACGACTGGGAATGACCGGACCGTGGCTCCGCTAGAGCAGACTCTTGCCGAGTCCCCCACTTAACCGACCAGTCGGCGGGCTCCCTCTGCCTTCGTGCTGCTGGCGTGGAAGGCAGGACCCCCTCTGACTTCCCGCTCTTGTTCCACAGACCCCCGTGTTCAGGATGTGGTCTCCTGCCGTCCCCCCCCCACCCCCCGACGGTCGGCGCTTCGCAGAGTGCAGGCGCCACCCACTGCCTTCCCGCGGGCCGCCCGCCCCACCCGCATGCTGGGACGCTCGGGAGCGCTCGGGAGCTGGGGCGCCACACGTGCTGACAGAGGAACTTGACCAGAAGTGACCACTCTGTGTCAAAAGAAGTCAAACTATTTGGTTCTCACAGTTTGGCACAGCTTACTCGCAGGTTATGAGTAAATATATTTCATAGGAAAATATTTAAAATGGTGAAGTCTATCCATTTAGCATTTTCCTCACCCATGAAGTGCGGCAGGCTCACTACTGCTCAGTTCGTGCCAGCAGCAGCCTGAGACCTGCCGGTGCCCAGTCCCGACAGCCCTGAGCCGCAGGCAGCAACCTCTAGGAACCATCCTCTACCCACACAGAAACCAGTTCCACTTCTGCATTCTTATTCTTTCTTCTCTCTGGAATTCAGGTGCTAACCTCCTTTCCAAGGGATCTAGACGCCTGCAGGGAGCAAACAGGGGACACTGGGGACCTGCGTGGCCTGCACGTGCTGGGCCAGTGGTGGCAGAGACTGTGCCAGTGTTGTTACCTGGGGCAACATTCTATGCTCCAGGACATAAAGGACTTCTTTGTTTTCTTTCTTGCCTGGTTCACTTCAGCTGGAGGATATAACCCATCAGCAGGAAACTCAGATTACCCCGACCAAGATGGCAGCTGTCCCTGTGTGACGGCACTCTTCCACAATGCCAGGACAAGCGCAGGGCACTTTTGCGACGCTGCAGCTGAAGCAGCCTTTAGTTAAGAGGAGCCGGAGTGTCCCCTTTTCTCTGCCGCCTTAGCATCCACAGCCCTTTCCTGGCAATACCTCACAACCAGCCCCGGGGGAGCAAGTCCTTCTGCCTCCAGTGACCGTGGGGCCTCCACCAGAGGCTGCGGTGCTGGGAGGAGCACAGATGCCCAGCTCACCTGTCCCCTCCAGGCTCTGCCTGATCCCAAACACTGCAATGCAATGTATTCATTCCCAGCATTCTTGAGGGCCAGCCTCGAGGGGCAAGTGATGAAGAAAAATGAATAAAATGCTATTTTGACCTATGGGCAAACTTGCTTTTATTCTAAGCACTTCGAGGGTTGGAGGCAGATGCAGTCTGTCAACAAGCAGACCCTGCCAAGAACCCCCAGAGGCAGAAGGCAGGAAGGTGCCTGCAGAAGGGCCAGAGGGTCCCCAGGGGCAGCAGGGATGGTCACAGAGGAAACCATGCCAGGACAGGGCAGGGCAGGGCAGGCAGCAAGGTGGTGGTCCTCAGAGAACCACATGAGATCAAACACCCAGAGAACAGAGGCAACCACACTTCTTCCAGTTGGATTCTGCCTCACATCAAGGCCCTGCCTGCCCTGGAGGAGACGTATGTCCTGGCAGGGGCCTAGAGAGAGCAATGAGGCTGGTAGGGACAGGGGGGTCCCCAGCATTCCTTCTGTACAGTCCCATTCTGAGCATGACACTGCAAGGTCCATTTCTCAAAGTGCTGCCAATCTAAATGGGGGAGGGGGGCAGGTTAAGAAGTGGGGCTTCACTATGTTGCCCAGGCTGTAATGCAGCGGCTATTCACAGCATGATCACAGCTCACTGCAGCCTCGACTTCTGCCTCAGCCTCCCAAGTAGCTGGGATTACAGGCATGTGCCACCATGCCCAGCTCAGACAAGTATTACAAATTTTTAAACAGACCTGATTTTCTCTTGCTGTTAAAAACATGGAAGAATAGTAGCAAAGGAATAAACGTGTGGGTTAAGGCCCCTTAAAACTCTTGGAAAGGGAAAGGCTTGATGCCAGTGGAGAGCCCTGAGTTTATTCCAGCCAGAAGTGAGCACCTGGGTGTGAGTCTCAAACACACAGAACCCGGGGCCTTCCGCCCACTGGGGCTGTGGACAGACTTTTCCCGGATGATCTTGTTCATTAACTTAATCTAGAAACTGAGCAAGATGATTTATAGATTTTTACCCCCAAAGCAATGTACCCACAGGAACCACCGAACTCACTCAAGCATTAATCCAAAGAGAAAGCACGCTCTTGGCAATAGAACCAACAGATCCAGTGAGATCCCCGGTGTCCTCCAAGCAGTCATAGGCTAACACCCCCACCTTGTTCCTAAAAGAAGCAGAATTGGTTCCCAGCAGGTGACGGGTCTGTTTATACTCCTTATCTTAATGAGATTGATGGCTTTCATGGGGGCATAACAGGAACTCTAAGAGATTTTCCAAGAAGTGCTACGGAATTTTTTGTGGAGTTAAAAAGATCTTTGCTCAAACTGTTAGAAAAGCAAAATTGTTAGTATAGATTTACTTTAAATGGGCTCTTTTGAAGGTAAATGCTACAGAAGAACTTTTCAGCGCTCAGATTAATTCATGAGAGTTAAGCATCTTGAACACATACTAACGAGCGTTTCCATCAGCTCCTGACGTCCTCTGTATTTTCTTCTTGACTTCACGTGGGGGTCTCCTCTCCCCCTCTTCCAGAGCAACGTGACAGTTTCTTTTCAAAAAGGTAAAAACAAAACAAAACAAAGAAAACCAACAAACTTCTCTCCCTTTGAATGATTCCCCAAGGGAATTCATAATTTCTTTCAGTCAGTCTGAACCCCAGGCTGCAGGTCAGCATTTCAGTAGTTACGGGAAGACCAGAGTTACTGGAGACCAAGAAAGGAGCGGGCGGAGGAAGGAAGGCGAGGGGCCAGGGGTTTTGTGCAAGATTTAATAAAAAACAAACAAAAATAGGAATGGTTGCTTTCAACATTTTCCAGGATGTGAAGGGTTTGCCACGATTATCTGGGGTGTGCTTCTAAGCTGCATCAGTGGAACAAATACAAAACGCCGTCCTCCTCTCCGGCCAAAAGGCAGTGCACCTCCTCCTCTGACAGCTGGGCTACTGAGCCAGGTAGCAGTGCTGTGATCCAGGCCGAGCCGGGCGTCTGCATGGCCTTTTCTCTTACCAACTGGGACTAGTCTACCCTGGGGCGTGCTTGCCGCCGGGCCCTGTCTGCACGCCAGCGCTCAGTGAGACAGGGCTAGCTTATCAACAGGCTGCTGAGCCTTAATACTGACAGTGAGTGCAGCGGCTTACAGCAAGGGAGGGGCTCTCACAGACGCCGGCTGCAGGGACGGCCCTCCGCAGCCCCGCTGCTGAACTAATTTCAGAATACCACGGAAAAACGCTTTGATAAGACCATAGGAAGTCTAAATCAACACAGCAGGGAATGGTGTGAACAACCCCTAAACCAGTCTCTCGTGCATCCATACCCACAGTTAATGACGACAATAACAATAATAATAAAAAACAAAGGTACAGACAAAAAGCAGCGCTCGGGTTGTGCTGCTACAAGCCGGGAAAGGTGCGTGTTCAAGTTGAACGGGACACAGCTACTCTTTCTTCAAGTCCCTGGATTCAAAGAGCTTCAGCCGCTCCTGCACCGTCAGACCTTCCTTCAGACTCTGGTGGAGACAGGGCAGGAGGGGAGAAACGAGCTCACGTTAGATCCTCCGGACCAGACTGGACCTGGTGGCATTGGCTTTAGTCAGAGAGGCAGGTGCAGATGCGGGGGGTGGGGGGCGTGTCCTGAGATTAGGGGGGCATGCCAGGAAGAGAGGCGTCCTCTGGGAAAGCAGTGGAATACATACTTGTGGAATAAGTTTTTCCCTTCAGAAAATTACAAGGATGAAAAAGGAAGCATATCAGAGAAACGAGACCATGTGTTTAAGTAGCTGAAATCTGAGCTTAGGGCTCTTTAGACAAGCAGTGATCTGACTGATGCAACCAGGAAATGAGCAGATTGTGCTATGAACTAGGAAACTGCCATCTATGTGTCTTTTCCCACGTGTGGATTTACCCCTATCTGGCTCCTCTGTGATTATTAACCTGACAGCCTCAGATGAGGAGGGCCAGGGTATCCCGACCCCAGCCCCACTCCCATGGGCCTCCTGCAGGACCTGCTGCCCTAAGAACCTTTCCTGACCAGAAACCTGCTGGGCTCACGACGTGTTACAGAGGCTTAGGAACATGCCAATATATCTACGCAGACTTGCAGAACGTAAAGCCAATATTCTGCTCACGTGAGATCCTGGAAAAATGTAAATCTGAATGTCCAGAAATGAGTGACATTTTACTAATTGGGGGATAGATATTTGCCATTTCACTCTTACAGACTTTTCCCAAAGATTTCCTTTTTCTTCTTCTTTTTTTTTTTTTTTCAATGACAGGTCTCCCTCTTTCACCCAGGCTGGAGTGCAGTGGCACAATCATAGCTCACCGCAGCCTCAAACTCCTGGGCTCAAGCTACCCTCCCACCTCGACCTTCTGAGTAGCTGAGACTACAGGATCACACTACCACGCCCAGCTAATTTTTTCTGTTTTTGTAGAGATGGGGTCTTGCTGTGTTGCCCAGGCTGTTCTTGAACACCTGGCCTCAAGTGATTCTCCTGCCTCAGCCTCCAAAAGTGCTGGGATTACGGGCTTGAGCCACCGCGCCCAGCAAAGATTTCATTTCTGAATAAGAAAAAGAAACAGCACTTTTCAGAAAATGACTGGAAATAAATGGAGTTCCAACATCAGCTGAGGCCCACGGCCAGTGTTACCAAGAGACTCAGCTGGAGCGGGTAAAGGCATGGGCTTGACTGAGAAATATGAAACAAAAGGGATGGCCTCTGGCCCAGGGTGCTCAGGATTATGCCATTTTTAGCCAAAAACCTGTATAATTTGAAACCAAATGCTGCAACCTCACACCTACTGGCGCCTCCAGCTTTGGCTCCAGCACTGTCTGGTGCAGAACTGGGGGACTGGAGCACTTGCCGGCCAGCCTGATGCACGTTGAGGTCTGGGGGCCCCAGCACCCCAAGGCTGGTGGGAAGAGGGTGGGCTCTGGTGTCTCCACCCCATGCAGCTTCACCCAGAGCAGGCATGCGTGTATGTAAATAAGGAATTATTTGATTTTTAAATGAAGGGTTCTACTGCTAAACATTTTGAAACTCACTGGTCCAGATGAACCTCAACTTAGGCAGGGTGGTTAACTTGGTTAGGGTTTTTTTTTTCCGGTAAGGGTTACTTTTCAAGCTTGCCACAGAGTGGGCGGGGACACAGGGAGCAGATCCGGCTCCCATTCTGTGTCTCAACACCCACACCTGCCTCCAGCATCCTTGAGTTCCCCCCTCCAAGCACAGGGGTCTTGTAGAGGAGCTGAGCAGACTTCTGGTCACCACCAAAGGCGCTGGGTCCACACAGGCGGCCCCCAGAGGACAGCAGGGCCGTCACTGCCATACCCTGCTCCCATCTAGCTGGGGACTTTGTAGCAGGACTGCAGTGGACTGGCTGCTCCTGAGACCCCTGTGGACAGTAAGTACCCAGCCTCTGGGTTTGCTCCCTGGGGGCACCACGTCAGGAGCCCCCAAGTGGCAGAATCACGCTGCAATAGGTTTGGGGCAGGGGGCGTCTGGACAACCACGGCACCCAGCATGGTGGCTCCTGCCTTCTGCCCCAGTGACAAGGGCAGAGCGGAGGCTCAGTGAGGCTGGGGTCGCTGTGGTCGTAAGGACAGGGAGTAGACAAGCCCTCATGCTACCCTGCACCCAGATGAGGGCCAGCTCTCGCCAAGCCTCTCTGGCTTCTCTCCTGGGCTGCCACTCAGCCCAAGGACAGGGCAGTACAGGGACCGTGGCTGTGCTGGGCCCTCTGGGTGCGGCCAGCTTTGGGACTCACCACCAGGCTGCCCCCCCCCCCCAGTGCCTCCTACAACCCCACAATGAGCTGGCCACAGACATAGGGCCCCCTAAGAGCCCCAAAAGAAGCATTCTCTGGTCTCAATCTCAGCAAAGGCTGTGCTGCCCTTAAGTAAGTAGCTAACTTTAATTTTATGGGCACTGAGACTTTCCATCCTTTTTGGCAGGATATAAAAATGGGACGTAACAGACACAGCTCAGATCAAACGCCACGTTAAAAAGTACCAATGAGAAGTGTGGTTTCTGGGCAACTTCACTCCACTGTCTTCTCATGGCACTCGGGGGTCTCCAAATACAATCAAGGCAAGGGCGACGCCACCCCGTGTGCCTGCTGATGTCTCCTGAGAGGGGCTGCTCTGGCCCCACCCCGCCCTGTCACACTGCAGTGTCCCTGAGGACGGCTGCAAAGTCCCCATCTTTTTGCTGTGGTCAGCAGGACGGGCCCTGCACACCCAAGCTTTCTTATTATGGAAACCCAGCCAAGCCAAGCACCAACTCAAAAAACCCCTCGCGGGGCTTCTCTCCTCCCTTTTCTGGGTCCTCCCTCTCTGGGAGTCTGCGTCTGCCATGGCACCCAGACAGTCTCTCTTGGCTGTGCCCAACAGTCTTCTCCCTCGTACCTATGCGCTGGCCCACAGCACACCTTGCTGCACAGGCCTTACTGCCAGGAGCTATGGGCCTGTCTCTAGGTCCCCCAGGGATGCTCACCATGCGGACATGTCCCCGGTCCTGACGGAAGGGTCCGGCAGAAGCTCTCTGTCCCCTCCCACCACTGTCATTTGTGAGCATGGTCCAAAGGCACAAACTACTACAGTGAACTTCAAACTCTTCAGGAAAAGCTCAAAGATAACAGCTAGAGTTTAGCCTCAAATAGGACGTAGATTCTTCAATAAGAAAACCACGAAGCAAAAAAGAACAAGTTTCTTTCTGCTAAACAAAACATTTTTCATATTTAAAGAAAAAAGCCCAGACTAAGTCTTCAATCAAGCCTAAACCACATTTGGGTGTAAGTGACTTGGGATTATAGAAAAATAAAACCAACTGACTAGGTTTAAAACATTTGGATTTTTTCAGAACTCTTCCTAAGGCAAACCTCCTTCCCCCAAGCTTCAGGCCGAAGCCCCTTGGCCGGCCGTGGGCTGTGGGTCCCCCAGGAGGCGGGTGAGCAGGTCTGCAAAAGGAGTCAGTGTGGACGCTTCCTGTGTCCTTAACCTTCTCATCACTGAGTGAATGAGATCAAGCTGCTAAGCTGGTAGCCACTCATTCTCGGCCCTGCTGAGCAGACAAGAACCTGGTGGGCAGGGACACGCGGTCCTCCTGCTCACGCTCAAAGGCTGGGTCTACCACCACGGTCCACACCCCCACCCCCTTCTCTTTGGGACAGTGCCTTCAATAGCATCCAGAGAGAAGCTTGTTTTGTTTAAAAAAAAAAAAAAAAAAAGTGCTGGTAACTATCCAGGCCTGATTGTGGATACCACGCTCCTCTGAACCATGCTCCTGAGCCCCACCCTGACTTACCTATCCCCGGCCCGTGAGCCCCAAAGGAAGACAGGCCATGACAGGTGGTGAAAAACCCGGGTATGGGGGCCTGCCCAGTGTGCGGGGGGCTCCTCTGCCTCCTCGGCCAGCTGGCTGTTCACTAGGTGAGCAAGGACTTCAGTGACGACAGACTTTGCTTGCCAGTGGCACTGGGTGTCTGTCAACTCCACCTCACGACAGAGGGCAAGATGGCTGTCCCCAGAGAGGGTGCAGTGAGTTCGGCCTCCGTGCACAGAACCCAACATGCAGCCTGCCCACCAAGCTGGGGGAGCGCCCCTTTGCCAGGGGTCAGCTCTGTAAGAGGTTAGAGTGCCAGTTAACTCCCCAGAGCAGGTAAACAAAACCACCCTTGGATTTTGTGTGTGCTTGCTGGAGCGGGATGAATTAAAGTAACCATGACACAGGCATTTGCTACGGAGGTGTGAGCAGTGCATGCAGAGGCCACCCCTGGGTGGGCAGGTGGGTGGGTGAGAGAGGCGGTTTACCTACATGACAGGGACCTGGAAGCGGATGCGTTTCAGTTATCCCATGAGACCTGCTCAATTACGGACTGTCAGAGGAGAGAGCAAAAATGAGACACACACACAATCAATCTGAAATGTGACACGCTGGATGCCCCCCACTCCCCACCCCTGCCCATCCTTCCCACGAGACGCAAGTCCACTCTGGAAGCACACTAGCGATTTGCTGCTTCCCGGTGGGGGCAGGGGGTTCATCTCTTGAAGGCGGATGGCATCAGTATTGTGACTGTGACACGCAAGGAACAATACAGACACAGCGGCTGACTTGAGGATGGGCTGGGCTGGAACCTGGCCTTGGAGGCAGGAGCCGAATCACTTCAAGCCCTGCTTCCCGCAGCCCTGGCCCTTCAGCGTCCTGCCAGGCGGTGGCTCCATAAAAGAGACATGAAGATCGAAGCCACCACACCTGCCCAACAGGGTGAGCCCGCAGGCAGGCTGCCTCTGGGCTTTCCGCGGCAGCCCGTGGTTGGCCTGGCTGTGGCCCATGCTGGGACTTGGATTCGGGCTCCTCTCCCCAGCGTTCCCCAGCTCCACCCCTTAGGGCTGGACCCCAGACTCACCTTGGACCTGATGTTTCTAAGTTGCCGGGCGACACAGGACCTGTCTTTCTTTAAGAAGTCAGGGTTGCTTTTAGATTTCATTATATCTGAAGAAACAAACAGACCCATTACCTTTGTTTTCTAAAACCTCCGCAATCAGACTGTTTAAACATTTTCCAAGCTTATTACTGCAGTACACTTACGACATTTCCTTAAATAAGTGAATTCAAAGCCAGTGACCATAACATACACTAGATCTTTTTCAGAACACCACAAACACCAGAACAACAGGAGAACATGCACGTAGAGGCCCTGGCAGGGCCCCCGGATCCACTGCCTGCAGCCCGGAGCAGTCTCTTCACTCCACATGAGACCTTAGCTGCTGAGCACACAAGTGTGCCTGTTATTCACCTATTCCCGCCTTCCTCCTGATAACACAGGACTGTTATAAAACAAGGTAATAAGGCCGAGTCCTTCTCATAAGCTATCCCACCATGACAACACTCCTGTAGACTTGTGAAAATGTCTACTTAAATATCTGTAAAACAAACATACATTGGGTCATACCATACCATACCATCTATCCCATGCACGTGGGGGTTTTTTGGTTGTTTTTTACTTCATATGTGTATATATAGTTTGGGTTTTTTCTTTTTTGTTTGTTTTTTGATTCTCAGCTAAAACAAAAGATATGTATCTATTTATTGATACAATATATTGTACGATACAATACAATACTCTCAGCCACCACCGAGAACAAAACTGGTCCAGAACGTCAGGTCCAGGGCAATAGGCACTGATCTGGTCTGAGCAGGACAAGTCTCTCAGTAGTGGTCTTGGCGATGCAGTTCCAGATCCACCCAGAGGCAGGTTCCAGACAGCAGCATGCAGTCCAGCAACCTGTGCCCGCGTCCTCAGCCTCTGGCATTCCATGTTTCTGCTCTTGGGGCCTTCGTGTGTGCACACACAAGCCATTTACTTAGAGCTCTGCTCATCTTTTGTGCTCTGCCCTGCACATTCGCTTCGTCCTCCAGCTGGTCCTCATGGCGTGGAGGTGTCTAGCAAGATGGCAATATGGCCCAGAGTAGTTTTGTTTGTTTTTTTTCTTTTTACAGAGACAGGGTCTCACTAAGTTGCCCAGGCTGGAGTACAGTGGCATTCACGGGTGCAATACCACTACTGATCAGAACAGGAGTTTTGATCTGCTCCGTTTCTGATCTCCTCCAGCTCACCTCTCCTTAGGTAACCTGGTGGTCCCTGCTCCTGGGAGGTCACCAGATGCCTGACTGGCACAGCACACTACAGCCCAAAACTCCTGGGCTTAAGGCATCTTCCCACCTCAGCCTCCTGAGCAGCTGCGACTACACATGTGCGGCACAACACCTGGTTGCTTACGTATTTATGGATTTCTTTCCATGTCAAAACAAAAATATCTACCTGACCTCTTTTAACAACTGCATAGTATTCTACTGTGTAGCTATGCCACAGTGCAGACAATCCTCTATTTGATGCCTAAAGGTAGAATGCAATTTTTGGCTCTTATAAACAAATGCTCAGATAACTTCACACATTTCTATACATTTTTCTAGAAGTTTTACTGGTATTTCAAAGGAATACACATTTTCTCCAAATTCTAAGTCTTCCCTCTCAGTGTCCCCTGGCCACTCAATCTCTTCCTCAGTAACAACCACTATTACCATTTTGTTACCTTTCCAGTTAGTCTATAGTTTGATTTTAAACTTTGGTACACATTGCCTCATAACTCGTACTTCCATCAGCAATGCAAACGATTTTCTCCACAGCATCTGTCAGTACGCCACCATCACTATTCCCTGGCTAGCTGATAGAGAAAATGTTGAATTTTTTGGATATTAGTGGGCTAGAACATCTTTTTATGTGTTTCTGGGTCTTTTGTAAAAAGGTCAGATGAAATTATGTACTATCTGAAAGTGTTTAATAAAGTGTTAGATCATTAATCTCCCTGCCATCTCTTTTCTTACATGGTTGCCTAAATGTTTTTGGTCAAAAAAAAAAAAAAGGATCAGCCCTGCTGTTCACTTGAGAATGTGGGAGCCTGCTTCCCGCCCGCCCTTGTGGCCTACGGACTTTCTGGTAAAACTCTGGGATCAAGCAATCAGTAAGCCGTTCTACCCAGCTGCTGAGTTCTTTAGCAAAACAGAAAAATAAGAGTTGTCCTTGCTGTGAAAGTGTGTGCTGGGTGTGGTTTCTCCCCAGAGCAAGCGGCCACGCCTGGCAGGAAGGCGGTCTCTGATCCCGTGTGCAAGCCCTCGCCATTGCACTTCTACTGGGAAACCTGGGGCCGCAAAGAGCAGTGGATTCTTCTGCTTTGAACCGAGTACCGGAGAACTTCTGTAAGCAAACCCACGAGCTCCCGAGCAACGACCAACCCAAAGGGCAGAGCCCGAGCACGCACCGTATCCTGACACAGCAGCACTCTCAAGGGACTTCTCCCCCAGCGCTTCCGTTGCGGCCTTTAGCTGCTCTTTCAACCTGCTGATGTCGCAATCAGCTTTTGCCTTCGCGATGCTGAGCTCTGTGTAGATGTCTTTATACTTGTCACTGGCGTACTTCTTGTCCTTGGGAGTGAAAGGAAAGACACGAACAGCAGTTACAGCCAGGGGAGGAGAGTCACACAGAACTCGGCCTGTACCCATGGGGCTGACCACCTGGGTCCTCGCCTGTCAGCAGGAGAGGAGACTAGCCAGCCTCCATCTTCCAGAGGCAGAAACAGGACACAAAGGAAAACAACAGGGCCTGAGGACACAGGCACAGCAGAGATTCTCTGTCAGAACACAGTATGAGAATTCCCAGGCCCAGTGAGTACAGGAGGGCAGTGCCTAAGGCCAGCCTGCTGCGGCCATCTGCCTGGAAAACCCTCTCTGCCTTGGACTTTCTAAGTGACTAAATGGCCACCAAGGATTCCATCATCTCCCTCCCGACTCTAGATGTTCCTTGGAAGAGGCCAGCAGCTGACTGGCCAGTGAGGCCTCACTTCACTTCCCAAGACTCTTCCCCAGGGCTCCACTGTTCCCACCGGAGCACACAAGAAACACCTAGAGGAAGATGACAGGGTAAGGCCAAGCTGCTCATTCCCATGTAGCTACCTGCAGGCTGGCCTTTTAAGAGAACTCAATTTTGAAACCACCTTCCTCATGAAAGTGACATCTACTCTATAACAGTCTGTGCTCAGCCACGGCCTATGCGTTCGGGAGACATGTGGCCAGAGTCGGTCCCCAGACCCACTCTCCCACGGTGAGGTGGCCTTACCCGCAATGCTGTCTGTAGCTCGTCCTTGAGGGAGCTGATCTCCTGTTTTAGGTACTGTATTTCTGATTCCTTGACCCGCAGTAGGACCTAGAATGACAGAGAAATCAGGGATTGATGGGATCTTTTTTTTTTTTGAGACAGAGTCTCACTCTGTTGACCGGGCTAGAGTGTCGTGGCATCAGCCAAGCTCACAGCAACCTCCAACTCCTGGGCTCAAGCGATCCTTCTGCCTCAGCCTCCCGAGTAGCTGGGACTACAGGCATGCGCCACCATGCTCAGCTAATTTTTTCTATATATTTTTAGCTGTCCAATTAATTTCTTTCTATTTTTGGTAGAGACGGGGTCTCACTCTTGCTCAGATTGGTCTCGAACTCCTGAGCTCAAACGATCGGCCTCCCAGAGTGCTAGGATTACGGGCGTGAGCCACCGCGCCCGGCCAGGTATTGATGGGATCTTAAGTGCAAAGACTGAGAGGTGAACAGATGGCTCCCCGCCCCACCAGTGCCCAACTGAAAATATAATTTAAACATCACTCAAAGCTCCAATTTTATATAGAGAGATAGAAAAAAGAGGAAAGAAATTTGCCATGATCTGGCCAGCACTTTGGGAGGCTGAGGCGGGAGGATCGCTTGAGTCCAGGAGCTCAAGACCAGCCAGAGCAGCACAGTCAGACCCTGTCTCTACCAAAAATAGAAAAATTAGCAGGGCATGGTGGCGCGTGCAGTCCCGGCTACTGCGGAGGCCAAGGCAGGAGGATCAGTTGAACTGAGGAGTCGGAAACCTCAGTGAGCTACGATCAGGTCACTGCACTCCAGCCTGGGTGACAGAATGAGACCCTGTCTCTAAAAAATTAAATAATTAATTAAAAAAATAAAAATTAAAGAAATTGCTATGACTCCCCCCGCCCCAGTGATGAGGACCCTCCTCCCCAGCCTGGGGCCACCGTGAGGTGCACCTGCCGACCCACTTGTCTCTGGAACCAGGCACTGAGGCTCAGGAATGTTGTGCTGTGGAAACTTCTGTCAAACTCACTCAGCCTCTCCTGTCCGTTTTTGTGGTAAAGTACTCATTTAGTATGAGACATTTTTAAAATGAAATTTTAATTAAATGGGGAGAAATCTAAACACCTTCCCAAAAGGACATTATATATACCAGAATCAATCATTCCGAGGTAAAATGAGCTCCCTGACCCTGAGGAGTCGGGCAGCACCATCCCGAGGAGCTGCAGCCCTGGGTGACTACAGAGTCCTGTTAAGCTGTCAGGGTCTGTGCGGGGGCGGGGAGGGGAGGGCTCAGGTCCCCACGGCGTTGAGAGGGGCTGCCCCGCCATGGCGCCCACGCTGCCTGGCAGCCAACTGCTCCTTTTGCTGCCACGGGTGACCTGGATCTTTCCATGCCTTCTACCCTTGCTGTCTCATGTCCCATCCCTCCAACGACCCCATGAGCAAGGGGCCACGTCGTGCTCCCCTCAAGGCTCATGAGGTGCAGGGCTGGGTAACGCAGGGCCTGGCTCCTGCCAGTACCTCCAACTCATAGGCGTCCTTGCCATGCGTGAGGGGTGACCCAGCAGCCTCCCCGCCGCCATCACCAGTCAGTAGCGTCCGTAACCGTGTGATCTCCGCAGCCAGGCGGTTGTTCAGCTCCTGGGGACAACAACACAACAGTGACACTCCACAGAGCTGCTTGGGGCAGAGTCCCACAGTACGGCCTAGGAAGGTCATTTCCCACTAACAATGTGCAGCGATTGGGCACCCCGAGCATGGGGCCGAGAGCAGTGCCTGTGCATGTCATCGTGTCTGAGACTTAACAGGGGAGGCTGCCACTGCCTGTGACGTGCGGCCTCTGTCAGCTGCTTTTAGGGCATGTAGAACCGCTGTGCGCAGGATTCCCCTGATAACCTGTCGATTCTTTCTGTTGCGATAACTAGCATCAATCTGTTCCATGGCTGGTCCCACCTGAGCTCCTGCAGGACTATGCCACCCTGCCCTCCACCTCCCACTCTGGACCTCCTACGTGGCTGACAAGGGGCCATCCTCAAGCCACTGCGGTGACTAAAGGGACCCAGTCCTGCCTGTGCAGTGGCCATGACCCCGGAGGGTCCCAAACAGGAACGAGGCTGTGCCCAGTGCCAAGGAGCGTGCTCGCAGGGCAGGGCCGTGCAGAGGGTCATTTGACTTGGTGCCCACAAAAAAGCTGATAATGTACCGACCCTAACTCAAACCTCCCACGTAGCCAGGATTTAAATGTGCCCCAATTTTCTGAGGAGCAGGCAGATTTCAAGAGGACAATCCGACAAAAATAAACGTGAGCAGCGTATGGCCCTGACTCGAGCAGCTTCAGCGCGTCCCATCCTGAGGGATGGGGTCTGCCAAGCAGGGACAAGCCTCCCAGGCCCCACCGAGCGAGAACGAGCCAAAGACTCAGAAGCTCAGAGAGGACATTAGGACATCTCGGCGTCTCAGAAGGGCCAGAGCAAGAGCAACTCCACACGACAGTTCGCACGGCAGGACAGCCTTGTCCTGGGGCCTCTGCGAGTTTCCATCCACACAGAGCGAGGTCAGACAGCCACGCACCAGGTGACACGGAGAAACCTCAGGGTCAGGCAGCCACTCCGTGGCTCAGGAACCATTGGGGCCACCTCCGGGCACGGCCTGGCCCCAGCTCCCTCGTGGGCTCACCTGGTTGTGGGCGTTGAGCTCCTGGTTCTCGCGCTGGCACTGCCGCAAGGCCTGCCGCTCGGCCTCTAGCGCCTGGGCCAGGTGGGCGTTCTCCAGGCACTTCTGCGAGTACTGCTCGGAAAGGACCTCCAGCTCCCGCTTCACTGACTGCAGCTCCTCCCTAAGGAGAAGGCAGTGCTCATGCCTCTGCCTATGCCAGGACCCGGGCCTCTCAGAGGCCACAGGTCACTTCTTGATACCAGAGGAACAGCTGGACACACAGTAGAGCTGAGCCTAGAGGGCCTGCGCTCCAACCTGTGGTGCTCATTTAGAGTGGGGGCTCCTCACAGAGATGGCCCTGCACCCCTCCTGGGTCCCCCCTCACACAGTCTGAGGGTGCTACCAACAGTGCTTCCCTGGGGATGCCAGCCAGAACAGAATCCAGCCCAGCATGGCCACACAGAAATCCCATTTCTGGGAGAAGTCAGACGTGGGACTCTCTTCTGACTCGGGGTTTGTTTTCAGTAAACCAACTTGGAGGCCGTCTGTGTCCAACAGCCAAGACCAGCCTCCGTAATATGTAGAAAACCAACCCTCGTGAGGCTGCTCTGGTCACCCTCCCACAGGCAGACCAGGGACAAGGGGCTTCCAGGTGAGCCATCCAGTCCAGCTGAGGTTAAGCGTGACTCTCCATAGGGTGCCGCCAAGCTGCCACAGCCTCGGCCTGACAGCGCCAGCCGCTCCCGAGAGGCAGGGGCCCCGGCTTCTGCTACGCTGCAAAGCCCCTGGTGAAGGCTGAGCACGCACAGCTGGCCCTGAACCCAGCAGTGCCACTTCCACCAAGGGGAAGGTCGACAGCAGCTGTTCTGGTCGGTACGTCCTCCTGACCAGGCAGAGGGAACCAGCACATGTGCAGAGTCTGAAAGGCAGGGATTGTGGCCACCTGCCACGTGCGGCCAGGGGGTGTCGGGCACCAAGCCCTGGCTGGCCTGGCTCCTGCTGGGCTACTGAGGCAGCAGGTGCTGACGGAGAACAAATTCCAGACAGCCTTGGAGATCAGCTCTGAACGAGCGAGGATTTTAGAATTTTGTTTGTTGTACCTTGTCCTATGGATTTTAGAGATTAGTCTTTGCATGTACGAAGCCTCGCTTGGGCCGTGCCCTGCCCTTGGAGAGAAGGGCAGTCTGAGCTGCCCTCAGCACCCACGGGCCCCTGGGCTCTGACTCTCGGAGGCCTTTACAGAGACACAGGAGGGGCCCAGCTCTCTCCCTGGCCGGCCCCCCACCTGCTCTGTCTATGGCAGGGCCGGGCCCACCCACTCACAGATACTGCCGCCTCAGGGCCTCGATGTCCGAGTTGATGCTGCTGATCTGGGACCGCTGGCTCTTCTCCAGCTCCCGCTCCATCTCCTCCCTGTGGGCGTTCTTCATGGCTTCAATGGCTACAGGCAAGGATGCTCGTCAGCGCTGCAGGGCCGCGCCACTCCCCGTGAACAGGGTGACGTATGCCCAAAGTTAACGCTTAGTCAGTCAGAGTCAGGTGCTGTACGGCAGGCTGGCTGCACACAAACCAACTCTTTGAGGGAGATGCAGGCTGGGAGAATTCCCAATGAATTCTCCCAAAAGGCGCATAGGTGCTTTTGGGTTTTCGTGTATATGTTAGAAGAAAACCAAACTAATTAAATAAATGTTGGTATCAAATTCAAGCATTCATAAAACAAGCAAGTTTTTGGGCAGGTGTGTTTTCTTCCTTGGCACTGAAATAATAAAGTACTATAAGGTAACAATTAATTACACAAAGGGAAGGCAACGCAAGATCGACAGGACAGGTTTGCGCAGGGCAGAGAGCATCGGCCATCACAAAGCATCTCGCCAGGTGGAGGCTGCAGCAGCTTGGCACTGGCGGGCACTCCAACAGAGGTGGTCTCATGCCGACAGGTGTCTACTGGGGGAAAACCACCCATGTGACTACTGAGGCAGAGGACAGCCCTTCACTGCAGCCGGCCACGCAAGGAGTCACGCAGCGCTAGAGGGCTGGCTCCTGGCTGGATGTTCTCAGAGGGCTCCTAGAACCAGCATTTGCCTCAGAGTGAATTGTCAAAGAACACTCCTCAACAGGAAACTTACATCGCGGCCAAAAGGCAATTCAGAGGCTGGTCATTTCTCTGAGTCGTGCACCTAGTTCAAGAAAACCTGGCCACCCAGACCACCATGAGTTACCCCAGCCCCACCTGAGATGGTGGCTGCTGTCTCCTCGGCTAGGAGGCGGTCTTTCTCCTCCCGAAGCTTCTCCAGCTCCCGCTGGTGCTGCCTCTGTAGATCGTCAATCTTCTTCTGGTGTGTTTCTTCCATTGCTGCAAACCCTCGCTCACACGTGGCCTGCAAAACACAAAAGAGACTTCACAGACTTCCTCCTTTACCTCTAAGTCAGGCACCTGTTTACTATACGAGCCAGCAACCCTGCCCTGTGCAGGCCCAGCTGTAACTCAGCGCTCACTGAGTGGACCCCATGGTGGGGGCTCTAACGGCGGAACAGGCTTTCTGGAGCTGTCTGGAGGTTCTCATTGATGCTAGCAGAACATCTAGAAAAGGGTGTTCCCCTCCGTAAATTCTGTGTCTTATTTTCACAACTATTCTGAGCCCTTCTTCATGGGAAGGGCTGGTACGGGAGTGGGGAAGGCTGCAGTAAAATTTAAATGAGCCAGTCCTGGACCTTCCCAATGCTGCTGTCAGGAGGGACCCCTTGGAAGGAGGGAGAACAGAGCCCATGTGCAGAGGCTGGTCTTGTCTGGCTCAGAGGGACACAGTGAGAGGCCCTGGGTGCCCATTACGCACAGACATGAGAGATTTGTCCGCTGGAGGGAGCCGACGCCATCCTACAAACAGCAGGCAGCCTGGCAGTATGGGGTAAGCGCACTCAGCCCAAGATAGGCTGGGGGTGCGCAGAGCCACTGCTGGGAGTGGGGACCCTGGCCCTGCCACTAGCCAGCTGGCAACCTCACACTGGCCACTTAACCGCTCAGGTGTCCACTGAGGGAATGACATCAAGCTACATGATCTCATTCCTTCTAACCTGAATCTTCTTTCCTCCTTTTTCTTTTGAAGGAGAATAAAGAGCACCGAATAATTAGTGCGCCACTAGCTTGAACAAGGCAGAAGACTTGCTTTCCAAGCTCATCCATGCCCAGTTACACCCTAGAAGGACAAAGGCATGTCCCAAGAAGAGAGCAAACCATCCCCCCCTCCACGCTGGAAGCCCGGCCAGCTGTCAGCACTGCGCAGCACTGACCAACAAACAGCTGCCGGGAGGGCTGGGGCATGCAGCTGTTCTGACCAAAGAGGCACCCTTTCTGCCTAAAACCCTCGCCAAAGCCACTTCAGAGTACACAGCAGGCCTTTTGCTGAGTTTTAAAACCCGGAAGAACATGGCCATGTTACATCCCAAATACAAGTGCAGAGGGCTCTCCACCCCAGACTCCCAATCCTGTACTACTTGGCCAATCTTCTTGCACATGGATTCAAGAAATCAAATCACCACACCTGACTTCTTTACTGGAGCCCCACAATTAGCAAGGGCCCTTTCTGAGAGCCCCAGGCAGTGTTTCCAAACTTACGGTCATAGTCTGGACTTTACTGTACCTATTTGCTGCGGGCATATGTCTCAACTCCACCCACCATGAAGCACCTGTCTTCTCTGGCCACCCTCGCACTGCAGGACAGCTGCAGGAGCTCCAGGGCTCAGGATCCTGGCTCTCAGGCCACCACACTGAGCCCCTCTCTTTCCTCCCACTTGCTTTGATTCATATGTGGCTTCTCAGTTAACAGATTTAACTAGTAGATCTTACGTACATTATTCTGATTTGAGTGCTTTGGAATATATGAAGACAACAGTCAAAAATCTAACAGAAGCACTAAAATATCTCTAAAGGCCCAACTGCTTCCTTGGAGAGAATTTGTATGTTAAAAAAATAATTGATCTGTAAACAATTATTTTTAGAGATGGGTCGTGCCATGTTGCCCAGGCTGGACCCAAACTCCTGGGCTTAACCTCCCGAGTAGCTGGGACTACAGGCGTGTGCCACCTCAATGGATTTTAATTTTAGTCAGTCTTCTCTGGGACTGAAAGAAGCTCCTTGATGACTTCCACGCAGAGTTGTAGTGTGTGAGGGGTACTGGCGTGTGGGTGTCAGAAGAGGTGCTGCCAGGCCAAGACCCCATCTCCCTGACAGAGCAGAATCTGCGTAAAGTACCGGCTGTTGGCCAGGCTCTCTCAAGTGCTATCTGGTTCTACGTTCTGCGTGCCCGAAGGGGTTGAGGAGAACCCTGCACATGGCTGGATGCTTCCAGGTACAGGACGGAGGATGCCACGCAACAGTGAGACGAGGCAGCACAGAGCAGACGGTGTCCAGGCCCCAGAGGCCCTATGCCAACCTGCATCAGCCGCGTCTGAGAGGTCTCCCTGCCTATGACACGGTGCCTAGTGCAATCTCTGGCCAGTTTTCAACACAAGTAGTGCTCTCCTTTCTGACTCCCTGCTAACTGGTGGCACGATGTCACCAGCACTGGCCTCTTCTGTGCCTGGCTGACAAACCTAAAACTGCCCCACCACCGAGGTGGCTCTCGTGGATGCAAACAGAAGGCGAGTCACCACCGCAGGCCTGTGGACTGCACTGCTGGGCTCTGCAGGGAGAGGCACTAGGGCGTGTCTCTGGGGCCAAAGCAAAGGTTTGTGCAATTTCCTTTTTGAGGCACACCTGGCCCCACGTGGATGCTGCTCTCAGCCCCACATGTACACACTTTTGGAAAACAGCTGTTGAAACTTTTCTCACAATGCATAATGGTTTTTAAAACACTTTGACTGGTTTAGGGAAAGCATGTGAGCAATGCTCCTCGCCTGCCTGAGAAGGGGCTGCAGCTGGCCCCTGACTGGGGGCTGTGCTGTCACTCAGAGGTAACTTATGAACTGTCGGCTCGTGGCACATATTCCTTTTTCATTCAGAGCCAGGGAGCAACGTGCCGGGAAACACGATCACGGGTGTCCCACTAGACAGTGGCCATGGGGACAACACTGTGTGCAGGGCCAGTGTGGCAGCCGCCTGTGAGTCAGGCGCTCCCTATAGGCACAGCCTGGGAAATGGTGCTGGCCGAACCCAGTCTAGCTCTGTCACGTGAGCACCGTCTGACCAGAGCTTGAGGGGGCCTGGGCAATTACTGGGGCAGCTTCCACAGGGCAAGTATATGCCAGCACAAGTATCAGGGCAAACTTCTGAGGCTAAGGGGTGGCAAAAAGCTCAAGAGGACGATGCCCAGGCAGCCACACACATGATGTGGCCTGTGGTTACACAGGGAGGCCACCCCGAGAGGCCCAGCATATCACCTCTGTGCGCCAGGGCCTCAGAGGCAGAGTGCAAAGCAAGGTGGAGGTGTGGGGTAGTTCCAGGGGAAAGGCTACTTTTCAAAGCTCCTGGAGAAGGGAACGGGAACGCTGGAAACTGTGCCATATGGGAAAGCCCGTGGCACCAGGGAGCCCATCTAAGGCCAGTTCCTCACGAAGAGCTGGGGTGAGAGAAGGACCCTCGACACTGTCCTGCAAACATTCCTATCTGTTGGGAAAACTCAACTCTGCTCTCCTAGGACAGTCGGGAGGAGACTGCCCTCCAAGGAGGCCTCAACCCCAGCTCTCCAGGGTGCTCCTGCAAGCACGGGGCTGTCCTCAGGCAGGTGCCTCATCCTGGGTCTGCGCTGGGCCAGGTGGGGTTCTGTGGGGGGCAAGGAGGAGGTGAGGCTGGTGGGGCGTTGGGCCTGCCCTGGGGAACAGAGAGAGAGGTGATAGGAAGACCACACTGTCTTCTCCCCCTGGGGCCCCTGCCGGCTCTTCCTCCTGGTGGGTGATGCTCAGTGGGACGTCAAGCCTGTGGCCCAGGCCCTGCTCTAAGACCATCCCACTGCCAGTCAGTGAGGGACGGCAGCACATCCCCTTGATTCTGCCCGCACAGTAGCCAAGAGCCAAGAAGCATCTCCAGCTCCACCCTGACAGCCAGATGCCCCAGCCCCCATTATCAAGGAGAATCCGCTTTGCAAATGAAGGTGCACCATGACCTTAAGGTTCTCAAAGTCCCTCTGGTACTTCTCCCGCAGCGTGGCCGTGTCGCCCTCCAGGTCCTTGTGGCCCAGCTCCTCACGCATGATGTCCATCTGGGCCTCCAGCTCCTGGATGCGCTCCCTCAGCCCCGTCGTGGACTCAGCCTCCCCCTCGGCAGCCTGCCTGCAGGAGGACGGAGCCGAGAGGGCCCTGGGGTGCTGGCCCTGGTAGAGGCAGAGGGTCTCCTGCAGGCAGCGCAGGTTCTGCGAGTAGTGCTCCTGCAGGGTCCTCAGCTCCTCCTCGTGGATGGTCTGCAGCTCCTTGATCTTGAGCTGGAACCTGTCCTCCAGGGTCTGCATCTGTGCCACGTGGTGCCTCTCCATGTCCTGCCTGTCTTTGAAAGAGGCGTCCAGTTGGCTCAGGACCCGGCTGCGCTCGGCCTGCAGTGTGTTCTCGGTCCTGTTCAGTTGCTCCACCACGCACCTGATCTCCTCCTCATACCTGCCCCGCAGGGCGAACATATTCTCACTGTGCTTGCTCTCCGCTTCCTCCAGACGCCGCTGCTGCTGGTCCAACTGAGCGACCTTGGCCTTGAGCTCTGCGTTTTCCCTTTCGATGATGGTGATCACTTCCAGGTACTCGCTCTTCTGCTTGCGGAGCAGTTCTTTATATTCCTCCCTCAGGACCCTGACAGCTTGCGCCTGCTCCAGGCAGGAGGCCCCCCTTGTCAGCCAAGACTCCTTGTAGAACTGGAGCTCCTTTTCATACTCCAGCCGAATTTTGCAAGCTGCATAACACACCTGAGCCTGAATAATTGCATCTTGAACCAATAATGAAGAATACTGACCGAGGCCTCCCAAACAAGTGATATACGAGAGATTCTGGGATGCCTGAAGAAGCTTCTGACAATCTCTCAGCGACTCCACAGGAGGCAGAGATGGCAAAGCAGCAGCTATCTCCTCTAAGATGCGGGCCTTTTCCTTTAGCTGCTGAGCGAGCTCTTCCTGAATAGCAACAAGGGCCCCGGAGCTCTGGTCAGACAAATGAAAGGGCTCCTGGGTGCCGTCTGAGTCTTGGCTCAGTACTTCTCCTGAGGGGCTCAGGGCCCAGGACGCTGGCGCACTGTCTTCACCACCCGCCGGAAGCCTGAGGGATTCTGAAACCTGCTGCATCACTCTCTCAAAGTCTGGGGTCTGGTAGGCTCCCAGGATCTCCCTCAGTAGGCACTTGTGCTGCCGCAGGGCTGTCTGGGTCCCCCGCAGGGTCTCCTGGACACTCTGCAACCTACGGTGGAGTG